GTGCTTCTGTCCACATGAAGCCACAGACAGTATTTTCTACATTTTTTTTTATTAAATCATATTTCACTGTGCACTGGTAGGCATGAATTCCCAGATGTGCTTGTATTAATAGCAGTGCTTAAGGTAGTCTTAGGAAGTGTGGGTTATGCAAATACATGTCAGCATTTTTTGTATATTTAATATTGTACTTAAAAATGCACTGTACTGATACATTACTTACAATTCTTCCACTCAAGTTATGCCTAGCATACTCTTTAAGATAAAAATATCATATACTTGATTATTTTTACAGTAATTATATAAATAAGTAATTTGGGGGAATATGAATTCTCTCATTTTTTTTCTGCTCGCACACATTTTTTGGGTCCTTTACCCGACTACCAGCACATGTTCAACCACTCTTACTCTTTCTCTGTTATTAAACCACGTTCTGTAGCGATACTTCATGCAACCAACCTTAAAAAACCAGCTATTCCTAAGAGTTCTCAAGATAAATAACATCTATCCTTAAAATAGCAATTATTTCTAAAAACAGACCATAGACGTCTCTACTATTCTAAAACATCTGCTTCTTGCTGTAATTTAGGCCCAATTATTTTACTTAGGGACTACTAAAATGTGTAGGGATCTCTGGGTATTTGGGTCCAAATTAAGTGGTTCTGGGCCAGCTGCACTCGGGGAGTACCTTTGTTAAGGACTTAATGCCCTTATGGCCCCGTCCTTGCCTTCGTTTTAGGATGCCGCCACTTTTTAATGGGTCTCTGGCTTCTTGAAGCCATACCACCCTCTCTGTGACTGCTGCTAGGGCTGACTGTTTTTTGGGAAACCAGACACGTCTGTTTGTTAGAAATAGTCTTTTTAAAAGTGGACTGCGTGTGGATGGGGGCCTTGAAGAAGTAACGATGTGGGGAGAGAGAATGAAACGAGGATGTGGACAGGCTGGGTCCTGACTCGCGGGCTGGCAGGCTGGCGGCCCTGGAGCCAGGTACCGGACGGCAGAGGCTCCTGCACAAAAGGCCTCTGGCCGTGTAAAGCACTAGTGTTTGTTTTCTCTGTGCTCCTACGCTGACTCATCAAGCATATCCATACACAGCCGTTTGGGGGGGGGGGACACATATGAATTTGTTTATAGTTTAGCTGATGTATGTCTGTGTCTGTAGAAAAATTCTTAAAATAACACTAGTCACCAAAAAAAAAAAAAAAGGAAAAAAGCTTATTCCACCAACATGGTTTCACAATAACGTTTCTTCTCATGTGTGTCCATTCATTTATGTCCACGAATGTAGAAAATTATTGAAATAATAATAGTCACTAAAAGAACATGAGATGCCCACTTCATAAAACAGAGAAGCTGTAATAGTAACCCGTTAAAGGCTCACTTTTAAAGGTGAATATATATAAAGTTACGCAGATTAACTGTGTTTAGAGACGGAACTACGCAGATGTTAAAGACCACTAAAGACTGAAACAGAATTGTGTACTTTTTCCTTCCAAGCATTTTCATATTTTATAATAGCTTTCTACGTTAGCAGATTATAAACATCTGTGTTTAGCTAATAAACTGAGATTTCCCCCCGAACACATAACTCTGATAAAAATCTAACAAGAAAGAAAAAAAGGGGGGAAGGAAGGAAATAGAGACGGGGAGAGAGAGAGAGAGACATCTTTTATATGCATGGCAATACTTCTTTCAGGCCAAAGACAGAAAGCACATGCTAATAAGCAGAGTTTTAATAAAAAGTGTTCTAATTATAGCCTACTCTACTTACCCATAACTTAGCCAAAGAAAAAATTCAACTTTAGTGACATGGAAGACCTCTGGACCTGTAACCTTTCCTGGTAGTTAGTATGATGTGTTTTCAGAAATTACAAGCTATGTTTATTATGTGTTTAATTAAAATAACAGAGGACAGCATACAGTGCACAAAATAAAATCAAATTACCTGCTGCTTTGGATTCTCTTTACCAATGTTCCCTTTTATTAGGGCAGAAAAATGGGAATTGGCTTTAGTCAAGCCATTCTCTATAAGTGTGTATTATAAGAACTGAAAACAGTTTTTTTTTTTTAATGGTCATGGAACCAGAGATAACACTCCAAAACGAAATTCTTCCCATCTCCAGCAAAATTTGTCATAGAGTATAAAAAATAAATCAGGTATTTTCCTTAAGACTCATTCTGATTGCACATTTTGCTCTAAGCTTTATTTGCTTTCTGCAACAGCATTTAAGAGAAACCCAACTGACCATGTACAACGTAAACAATGGCTTCAGAGTACGATTAAGAAACGCACCTGGCCTCACTCAAACAATATGTTTGTTTAACCTGGTCACTCTCCGGTGCCTGGGGTCAGGCAGGAGCAATCTTGGTTGGGTTGGGGGAGTTGGGGAGGAGAGAAGAGCAAACATAACTGACTCACTGAGAAAAGAAAGGGTGTACTATCCTTTGTAATTACCACCATTTTAACAGTTTCTAGCAGGCCAGGCTATCATTTAAGTGACCCACTGTAATTTGGGATGAAGTCCCGGGAAATTATGCCAACTTTGGAAGAGGAGCTGCATTTCTGAGTTTACTCAGCATAACGAACCCACTGAAATGCTGAGTGTTCCTTCTTTGGTATAAATTTACGTCAAGGGAAAAATTAACAGTAAAAGGAATCTAGCTAGAGAGGAAAAGAATACCACAACATTCACTCCAGGAAAATTTCCATCATGTTAAAAAAAAAAAAAAAAAGAAAATATGTAGAATAGCATGATGAACCCCCATAAACTCATCATCCAGTTTCAATAATCGTCGACACATGGCCAGTCTGATTTTACTGTATCCTACCCACTCCCTGCCTTGCATTCTTTTTTTAAAGCAAGTTGCAGACAGCCTATATTTTATCTTATATAAGCTTTCATTTATAATGTATGTATATATTTAATCTAAAGATCACTACAGAAATCTCACTGAGCATGAGATGTTTAAGCCAGCTCTAACCACATCTTACAGAACATTCTATGTTAAAACCTATCTGCTTAGAAAGCTAATTTGTTTGAATATAATTGGGTACTTAAAATGACAAAGTAAGTTGAATCACAACCCCCTTGTATTTTATTTATGGGGGAATAAAAGGAATCTTCTAAGACTGAAAAGCAGTGTCCGTTCCTCAGCCCCTGGGATGCTAGTCTTTGTGGACACTGATCAACAGGAGAAAAGGTTGAAAGTGACCCAGTGAGACGTGTCTGGATGGACCTGGAGAAAGAAACTTTCCCCTTTTCCGTCCCTACACATGCAGAATGAAGCAGAATGCCAACAGGCCAAACCTTTGGAACTTCAAAAATCACTCATCAAGCAGCCTAGCTCTTTACAATAATTTATTACCGATCTTAAAGCAAAGATCAAAAGGAACTCCATCTAGCACTTATATTCAATTCCTCATTGCCCAATGACTAATTTGCAAAGGAATGAAGCCTTCACAAGGGAAGCCAAAATAATCCGAGGTAACTTTGATACAATGCCACAGAGGATATGAAGAGGAAGCCCGTAGAAGCGGCAAATGGCTAAGTTCCATTAAGAGTTCTAATAAAAGAATAATGGAATTTCCCTTAACTGTGAATAAAAATGTTAGAAGTGGGCAAGATTTAGACAAGTCAGGCAAAACCTTTGATTTGTCACAGCCTTTTGTTGTTCCTGAGTGTTAACTTTAGCCACTGCTGCATTTATGTTAATTAAATGGCTTCATCTGAAAAACTGCAACTCTCCTATCAGGAATCCAGCCCATCTCCCTCCCTTTGCTGGCGTATTACTTATCTACCTGCACCCTCTCTCCATTGACAGGCATTACTGGCTTTCCCGATCTCTTTCAAATAAATTGCCATATTCTGCAAGGGGACTGGTTTAACTTGAAAAATGCAACGTGAAATGGCATCATTTTTAGTACTGTATATTGCCATGGTCACACGATGCACAAACACCTCTTTCACAGATTGTTGGTGCTTAAAGTCAACTGGTCACTATAGAAACACTAGAAGCTATTGAAAATCCTTCAACTTCTATGAACAACTGGCACAGTTTTTCCCTCCTGAATCCAGACATCTCCGTAATTCTCAACTGAGGAAAATAGTTTTCACACTACTTATCTTGGCTAGTTAAAAAATCCCCACCACATGTCTCCTTGTAAATTCATAGATCAAGATTTAAGTTTATATTAGCATTTCAAGTGTGCACATTTTTTGTTCGCTTCTGAAATCACCTCGAATTAACAGATTTACTGGAACCTTACATGATACAGAAGTTGTGCACGAATCTCGGGAATCTTGTAATATATTTCCCTATGATGATGTGGTGTTGAGCATTTTCTTTAAAAACAGTCAGAAGTGTGTTTTTTTTTTTTTAAAGAGCTCTTATCTTTAACAAATATATGGTGAAATGCTCATAAGAAGATGTCTGGGAATTCTTCAAACACAGGGAGTGAAGAGCGTGGGGTGTAAATGAAGCAACACTGGCCATGGGTCTATGAAGCCGGGGGACAAATACATGGGAGTCACGGCACTATCTGGTCTTCCGTGGGGCAAAACTTTTGGCAGCGGGTATTTCAGATACTAATGTTAGGGATTTTATTTAGAGAAAATAACTCTCTGTCAGAAGCAATGGAAAACCAAAGAGTTGGCAATTACTAGCTCAACTGTCTTTACGAATTCAAAAGTCAAGTTCAACACTTCAGTGTTTGGAAAGAAAAAGCCAACCAAGTAAATAACACCCCCAAATCTGTCTTTACCTCATCTTTGAGATTTCAGTGACAATGTGTAACTGGATTTTAATGTGAATAAAATATAATTATTTTAGTTCAGAAATAAAGATTTTCTGACTTCTTTAGAGAAATAAACAGCTGACAAACTAAAATGGAAATATAAATGTAATTGGAAAACATACTTCAAAATCACTGTCTGCTGGTGAGAACTGTGCTCTGCGTTCAGAAAGACTTCTATCCAACACACGAATAACGTGCTTCTCTTACCTTGTGGTCATACGGATTGTAGGAATGGAATACCCGGGAAAGATCTTTCGTTCTTTGCTTTTTCTGTGGAGGAAAATGCAAACATGTGAGTTGACAGCTGGCAAAAATATACAGGTGCATCAGTATCTAAATGTCTGTCTATCTATCTTTCCACATCTCTGTCTACCTACCCACCTGCATTAAGATATTGTTCCGAGATTCTTCCTTGTGCAAAGTGAGGGGCTACAGTCCAGTCTGAGACACATGGTTGCAATTAGAAATCAAAGCCACTTGGTGGTTTTGTGGGTCATTGTCACAGACCAGCCAGGAGACCTTTTCCTAGAGGTTTGGTAGTTGAAACACTAATCATCTTCAAAAATCCTATTTTCAAACACATAACTCAGAGACTAAACTGAAGAGAAAGAAAACTCAAACACGCTTAGGACACTTGCCATTTCATTGTAATACCAACTGCTATTACTCTGACCTGGGCACTGGCGTGCGTCCAGTTAAACAATGCACCTTCACCTGGCTTCCTAGTCACAGCTCGGGTCTGTCTGCCTGAGGCCACCTTTGTTCTGTCCCTGCCGTGTAGCCCAAGGGCCTTGCACGGTGTCTCACACGCAGCACTCGATGCATAGTTGCTTAAGGAATAACGGAATTTACCTGACGTAGACAGGCGTATCTATCATGACGACATAAGCCTCATATATTGTGAGGAAAAGAGAAGCCTCTTTTCACTGCTAATGATATGTTTTTCTCAAGCTGAACCCGCCACTTGAGGACCGTCTCTACCTCCTACCCCCCACCCCCCCCCCGGTGTCTGTGACAGTTAAGGGTGGAGTTCTCTTCTGGTCAACTGGAAGAAGCAGCTTGTTTTCTCGTACACGGACATCTGTCCACTCACCGTAACCACCACAGGAAATTCTGTGCATGGCTCTAGATCTTCTGTGCACATATTTTCACATACAATTATCACTTTCAAAGAAAGGGGATCATTCTGTATACTCTGTCCTAAAACTGACTTTTTCCACTTCACAACTGATCCTTGCCAAACTTAAGGACTTGTATAACCAGCTCCGCAATCCCTTATATGGAGTGCTGAAATCCAAAAACTTCTGCAATCTGAACTTTTTTTTGGCATTTCATTTCCATTTTTTCATAAAATGATCATCTTTGCCAGCTTGACAGTGTGCATTTTTTTCAGAAACGATAAATTGTACAAGTGCAGATGCAGAATCAAATAGCACGCCATGCTGATTACCTTGATGGATGATACCGAAGTGCCTCCTCCCTCCAAACCCTACCCCGATTTGCCTTCCCTTCAAGAGTGAATGAGAGAAGGGACTGCAGCTAAGTCGGAAATTCTTCATTTCTCTTTTCCATTTACAGGTTAGAACGTTTCTCAATTCACCGAGCAGATAACATCTTTAAAACAGATATTGAACATCTTCGCAGGTGCCAGTTACAGAACTGATTTCTTCAATGTCGTCGAGTTAGCCCGAGACCGTATCCTGCAATTCTGGCTTGAGAGTGGTCTTTGCCCTTAACACTGCCCCCATCTGGCTTCCGGCCCCACTCTGCTGTTGTTAATCCAACTACCAGGTAGCTGAGTGGCTTCTGTCTTCACTTGTGAAAGAATCCTTGCCTGGTATTCAGGTTTCCTAGGGAAGTATTTCTGTACTTCCTCCCTTTAAACTCCAGTGTCTGCCTGAGCACATCTGTCCCACCTCCCCCAGAGCTAGGGATCCAAGCAGACCCTCTAGCCTGGGCTCTACGTGGCCTTCGGCAGCCACATGGCTAAGCAGTTGAATCTAGTGTTAACTAGGATTTTATATTCGAGTCATCTGTACACACTCACTGTTGCCCCATAGATCAGTTTTCCTATTTCAGGATGGTCTTTGGAGCTGGCAGGGCTTCAAGTCACTTGGCTTTGTTTCTACATCACCCACTAAACATCATCCCTCCCTGCCGCCAGCCAAAATCCCAGCCGCCTCCTCCGTCCACCTCGAAAGTCGGCTTCTGACCATCCCAACGCTAAAGTAATGTAACACTCCTTTTCCCCCGAGAACAGGGATGAACCTCCGACTGACTGGGAACAGTCCCCTGACTCTGCAAGAGCCCTGAAATCTCTTCTGAACAGGTCACTGGTTCACCAAAGTTTTTGTTAGCTTATAATTTTCTCTTTCCTTTCCATGTACCCTCTTAGTTGTATAACAGTTCTTGGCTTACACTTCAATCAGAAGAAAAATGACGGATACTAATGTTTCCTTTGGTAGAAGACTCACTATAAAACATGGGGTGAAATTTTTTTCAGAAAGGAAATTATGCTAGGAAAGATAAAATACGGAGCATGTCGTTATTCAATTTAGGAGGTGTCCAAAAGACTGTTTAGTCCCCAAAAGGTTGAGCTACCAGCTTGAGTTGGCCGGTGGAAACGGAATATTCAGAGGTTGTTTGGTGTGACATTTTCATGTGGTTTTGGTTTTATATCTCTATTTTCACAGCTAAAACCTATACATGCTTTTTACTGTAAGCTACTTCAAATTATTTCGGGAAGGAAGTGGGGTATAAATGACAAGTAAATAACACAATTTGGATTAGCACCCAAAAGAAGCCAGCGAGGAAAAAAAATGCTCTTCTTTCTGACAACAAATCTATTATATATAAATACAGGGAAGTCTTGGCTAGGAATCCTGAAGGTTATATGTATTAGTTCAGTTAACTGGAAATTACTGCTGTTTTTCCTGTGAGGTCAGAATCCATACAGCTCAGTACTGTATGTTCAGGGATCCAGAGATTGACAAATGATGGTGATGGCCCATGGGCCAATCTAGCCTATCACCTGTTTTTGTAAGTAAGATTTTACTGAGACACAGCCACACACATTTGTTTACGTGTATCCATGACCACTTCTGTATTACAACAGCAGAGTCGTGTGGTGCCAACAGAGATCCTGTGGCCCATTAACCCTAAAGTATTTACTCTCTGGCCCTTTACAGAAATAGTTAGCCATCCCAGATCTCGAATCTCTATCTTGGACCACGTCTACTTCTGGCAATAGTCCCCTGACCCCAAACCAAATAAACAACTATTCAGCAAAATTCCTTGCTCCTTCTACTCAATGAAGACAGTTCAAGGACCAATCATAACCTATACCCAAACACATCAGGATGAACACATCGGGCCAATGAACCATTAGCTGTCTTGCTTCCAGGATTTTACTTTTGGGCATTCAATGTTCAGACAGAGAATATTATGAGTCGGTTTGTAGAGCACGCTGAAGTAGACATGGGACTTTCAGAGCCTTCTGTATTCACACTGGAACTGCTGATGACAGAAATGCTGAAATCCTTTAACTGAATTCTAGCGCTAAAGCTGAGGAGAAGCTTTCATGTACAAGGGACAGAAGCATGGCCATTATTGCTAGTGAGCCAGTTTCCAATAGGCAGACAGTGCTAAGAGTCCTAGGCTACAAAACTTGTTGAGCCTTGCTATCAGCACTTTTAACTGAAACTAAAAGCCGAGCCAAAATTGGAATAATTAGATACTTTCCTATTGCATCATAGTGTGTTTCTAAACTACCTCCCACTTTTTAGCCTGTTAAAACAAACATCTCAGTCATGCAACCACCTATTAATTCTCTGAGCATTTAAAAAGTAAACATGTTGAACAAGGCGTGTGATGAACTTGGAACAAGGGTGGCCAAAGTACAGTGAGTATGGCAAACATCTCTCTCGGAGCTGGACGAGGGACCTTCGAGTCCCTTTCATCATGAATCTCAGGGTACAGGCCGCAGAGATGAGAGGTGATTACAAAGGAACCACAGGCCAAGTCCTGCAGTCTATTTGGGGTGCAACTGGGTTTAGAAGATGAGGCAGCCTGAAAATTTGGTCAAATTTTGAGATTTCAGAGAAATCTCCATCCTAGAGGTGCTTCCTAAACTGCTTTTATATTTCACACTCCAAGAACAGAAAACACTGACGACCCCTTTAAGATCCAAGTTTAAACTCCTTTTCAGACAAAACCAAACAAAACTAAAGGCCCCAATGGAGCATTTTTAACAGTTCAGGTTTGCAGACAATGGAATCATTTCAATTTTTATCAAAGGGATACAAGGAGTTAGATCTGAAAGAGGCTCACATGCAATGAAAATCTGTATTTTGAAGGGGAGATTGTATAATCAATTAAATCGTAACAATATCCACCAGTTTAACTTCTCCTGGGCTTCCCAAGAGAATTCAATGCTTTCTATGCTCATTCTATACTTGTAGATAACACAATATAAATGTTTCAGGATACTTTGTGGTAAGAAGCACAAGAACAGGTTTGAGTTTCAATGTACTAACTTCCTGTTCCCAGTTCCCCACGTAAGGAGCTTGGAAGTCACTGCTCCAGCCTAACAAGTAACAAGCTGAACAGACAAGACTCAACTCTTTTTTGGATGCATAAGGGAGGGAAAGACAGAAAACACTGCTGCCCCCAGAACTGAGAGAGACCAATAAACCAATATGGGGAATGTGGCTTCTGGAGCATTCTGGAGTGTAAGTAGGAAAATCTGACCGGTAATGGATGCATTGCTGGAGGCTTGGTGCAGACAACTCTGTTAAGAACTTCAGGGGGATCCAGTCATGGGGCAGGAGTGGGGGGTCTATAACATCCTGAGATTTACCTCCAGGAGCTCAACCAGGTTCCCATAACAAATATGGGAGAAAACTCCCCTGTGGCTTCTGGTATGCGGAGGGGAAAAAGAAACATTTTGAAATACACCAGAGTATTCTGTTCTTAACAAGGCCTGCCCTCAGGGGGAACTAGTTAACCAGAGCCTAATCTGCTGGGGTATTATCAGAGACTAGCTAACTTGACAAGGGAAATACCCAACTTTAGCCCACTAAGCCATCCCGTTCCACCCAAGGAGGGAGGTAAAACACTGAGAAAACCTGTTTACAGTACAGAGGCAGGATCACTAGAAGACTGAGATCTAATCATAGGACTCCAGAATGCTTCCCCTGTCCTTACACCTCATCACCGCATTATTAAAGGCCTATTTGTGGCAGTTCCTTTTACCCAGTACGTCATGTCCG